TGAATTATTTCCAACATCCACACAAAACTAGGACGTACTCTCATGAACTGCCGTATACCTAACAGGCAGCTTCAGCCGTTACCTCATAGCCCTTCTTGTTTCGCCTGAATCTCTGCCCATGTTCCCCCTTTCTGTGTTATTCTGCAGCAGATCCCAGACATCAGATCATTTCATCTGTAAGGATGTGTGTGTGTCCCTAAAGATAAGGACTTTTTAAAAAGGAACCACAATACCATCACTGAACTTAACAAACATTCATTTTTAATATCACCAAATATAGTCAGTGTTCAAATTTCCAGTCGTCTTGTGAATATGTGTTTTGCTCATCTGAGTTTAGAGGCTGTTTGAACCAGGCTCCCAGTGAGGTCCACGCCCTGCCCTTGGTCGCGATGCCTTTGAGATTTCTCTTGATCTTGGTCATCCACCCACCACATCAAGTTTTGCCCCTTTGCAATTCATCCTTTCTAGAAACTATGTCATCACTTCTGGAGTTTCCCACAGTCTGGATTTTGCTGACTGCGTCCCCCCGGTGTTGTTTAGTACATTTCTCTGTCCTCTGTATTTCCTGTGAATTCGTAGCTGGGTCCAGAGTGTTGATCAGATTCAAGTTCAGTGTGTCTTGACAAGGCTGCTTCAGGGTAGAGTGTATCCGCCCATCAGGAAGCTGTTCTCAGGTTGCTTCTCTGTGGATGCTCTGTGCCTAAAGCCGTCTGTTCAGTAGGGGACGCTAAGTGGGGACTAATTCTATCTTTCCTTCTCCAATTATCAGCTAGAATGCTTCTATAAAAAGAAACATCCTCTCATCAACTGTTGGTTACCTGGAGGAACAGTTATATAGGACAGGCAAGGCAAATACTTGATTCTTTCCTTTTATTTACTGGGTTCAGAATAATGAGTTGCCTATAAATATTTGAATGAAGGAATGAATAATGCATGTGTGGATGAATTGACAGGGGCTTGGGAGTCGGGGCTTCTCTCTGCCCTCAAGGGCATGGGTGCAGGCTGCAGGCTGCAGCCGAGAGCGGAGGTGCAGCCTGGGGCCAGGTCCACCTCTACACAACCAGGGGCAGGTCCCCCTCACTCCCTGTCAACCCGCCACGGTTGAGAGCAAAGGTGATCAGAAGCTGCGTTATTAAGAAATGCAGCACCTGGGACAAGGGCACCTCATCTTGGAGAAGACCCACAGCAGTGAGCCAGGGGAAGGCCCGGGGACGGGGGTGTTCCCTTGACGGGTGGGGAATCGGGAACATTTGTCCCGGGGGAGAGTCGTGGCAGGTTGGACCAGTAGCCTCAAGGGTCCCTCCCAGCCCCCTCCCAGCCCCTCCTGGGAGCCAGGCCGGCCCGCCCGCGAGCTCGCTGACGCCCCTGCCCCCTCCGTGTCCCCCCAGGTGCAAGTGCAACCTCCACGCCAACCTGTGCTCCGTGCGCGAGGGCAGCCTGCAGTGCGAGTGCGAACACAACACCACGGGCCCCGACTGCGGCAAGTGCAAGAGGAGCTTCCGCACGCGCTCCTGGCGGGCCGGCTCCTACCTGCCGCTGCCCCACGGCTCTCCCAACGCGTGTGCGTACCGCGCCCCTCCCCACCGGGGCCCCGCGAGGTCCCGGTCTCCAGGAGCTGTGGATTCCATCACTCCCATGCGCACACGGCATGCGCAAACTTGCAAGCACGCCCACGCTGACACACAGGCACTAGCACAGGCACACGCGCGCGCACTCCTTGTGACTCAGCTCCTGAGCGCCAGGCCTTGTGATCAGACCCTCTGGCGTGACTGCATCCTGCCCACCCCGTCCTCAGGAACCGAGGGGAGCGGCTCAGCATCCTCCCTGCCTTCCTTCCTTCCCCTTCTTGACCCCAAGGCAGGAGAGAGGGCCCGCAGGGTGTCAGGAGCAGTGGGGACCCTTC